ACTGAGCCAGGCCAGTTAAAGTGGCCTCAAGCTGCATTATTTCTGGCACTCTGTGCAGGCCCTTCTAAGAAGCATGCATGGAGATGGCCATGTGAGTGTGTTTGTAGTTTCCCTGGGGTCCTGCCCTCCCTTTATATTTTAGTGCCCTCCCTGCTGCAGTCAGGGCCTGGGCCTGGGCCTCCTTTGCGCTGAGGGCAGCTGGTCCCCCTCCTTGGGTCCTCTCCTTTGGAGGACCAGGACCCTCTGCCAGCCCAGCTGCTCGCCTCAGGGGAAGATGCCACCAGCCACAGGCAAAGGCAAAGGCAAAGGCTGCCATCGCTCCACGCAAAACCCTCCTTCGCCCAGGCTTCTCAACAACTTCTCCAGGGAGCACTTCCAATGCGGCAGGAGAGAGAGAGAGAGAGAGAGATAGATATAGATATACATACATACATACATACATACATACATACAGGCAGCCTTTGCCTTTGCCTCTCCCTTGCCTTATCCCATACATAGTACACACATACATAGATACATAGATGCACACATATACATATACACATACATAAATATATTTACACAATATATAATATATATAGATGCCCCCCACATATTTACACACACACACATATGTGTGTATATAGATGTATTTATGCACATCTACATACATTTACACATATATTTATACATATATATATATATATATATATATACACACACACACATACACACATATATATATTCACACACACACACACACACATATATATATATTTATGCATTTACATACGGTATATATACACACATATTTACAGACATATATAGACGTACACATACATACATGCATTTACACACATTTGCATATATATATTACATATATATATAATATACACACACATTTACATATATATATATATATATATATATGCAGTCACACATATATTTACATATATATATATATATATATATATATACCCATACCCACACACATTTACACACACACATATAGATACATACATATATAATTACAGTTGCACATGTATACACATACATACATATTTACACACACACACACACACACACACAGAGCCAGCTTGGCGTAGTGGTTTGAGAGCTGGAGTGTGACTCTGGAGAGCAGAGTTCGAATCCTTACTCAGCCATGGAAACCCACTGGGTGACCTTGGGTGAGTCACACTCTCTCAGCCTCAGAGGATGACAGTGGTAAACCCGCTCTGAAGAAACTTGCCGAGAAAAGCCCCCTGATAGGGTCGCATCGCCGAAAAGTCGGGAACGACTTGGAGGCATGCAACACCACACACACAGAGAATGACCGGGCGTCCTCCTTTTCCCTGGACGTGTCCTACATTCCCCTGGACGCGTCCAACAGGAATCGCCAAAGCGCCTCCATTTTGAGCAGGACTAAGAGTTTACATCTCTATGAGTGCTTGCTTTTTTTTTTTTTTTTGTAAAGCTTTTATTTGGCCACGTCCTCCAATTTTTCTACACGTGTACAGTACACGTATGCAATCATGCCTCCACAGGCAGCTATAGGCACAGATGTATGGAGCCACGCACCGCCATGCATGTGACCGAGGCCCTTTGGCTCTGCGGCGCTGGGGCTAAGCAGGCACCTTCTCCAAACATTTAGGCTCATTAACATTGTTAAGCAGTGAGTTAGGGAGTGTCAGAAATGTGCTATTTTCACACGCCGCCTGATTGATGAAGGGCGACGCGCGCAGGGCCCCCGGTTGGCCGCGAGACAGGCCTGAACAATGAGGGGGCCCCCAGCCAGCCAATAAATACCAGCCTCTCATCTCAGCCCCCTCCCCCCCACGTGGGGCCGGAGAGGCACACGGAGGCCCGGCGCCATTGGCCCAGCCGCGGCCAACCAGAGGGCGCCGAAATGGAGCTCCGCGCTCCCATTGGCTGACCGCCTTCCCTTTTGTTCTCGCCACTTAGGCCGAGGAGTTAACCCTTTCGCGGCTTCCCCCGGAGGAGGGCAGCAAGGCTCAAGAGGCGCAGGGAAGGAGCCTTGCGACACGCGTGTCACGTGTGAATGCGCACACTGACACGGGTTACGCCTGCCTCCGCAGCAGAAGTACTGGTCCTCTTGGCCATTGCATCACATCGCCTCTCTGGCTCCCACACTGCTCCCCAATACTCTTTCATGACTTTAGGCAACATCCCTCCTCCTCCTCCTCCTGTCTTTGTCCCCCAAGGAGCATGGGCTTCTCGGCTCATCTCCACACCCACAAGGTTTTCCATGCCCATAGACACAGAATCATAGAGTTGGAAGAGACCACAAGGGCCATCCAGTCCAACCCCCTGCCATGCAGGAACTCCCAATCAAAGCATCCCTGACAGATGGCCATCCAGCCTCTGCTTAAAGACCTCCAAGGAAGGAGACTCCACTACTCTCCGAGGGAGTGTGTTCCACTGTTGAACCACCCTTACTGTCAGGAAGTTCCTCCTAATGTTTGGATGGAATATCTTTTCCTGGAGCTTGCATCCATTGCTCTATGCCAGGGGTTGGCATACCTTTTGGGGGTGGGGCCGGTTCTGCTGTCCCCCCCCCAATCGTCGACGGGCTGAAGGGGGGGGAAATGGCGTCGGAGGTGCACTCGCACACACATGAGCACTACTCCCGCCACCGTGCACATGCGCACATGAGCGCGGGGCACCATTTCGGAACGCAAAATGGCACCCCACATCGCAGGTGCACGGTGGTGACAACGGCGGCGGTGCGCGCACGATGGTGACAGCAGCAGCAGGACCAGCCACAGACCGGTTACAAGGCCTCGACGGGCCGGGTTCGGCCTGCGGGCCATAGTTTTCTGACCGCTGCTCTATGCCCTATTCTCTGGATCAGCAGGAAAGAAGGTTGCTCCAGCCTCAATATGGCATCCCTTCAAATTTTTAAACATGGCTATCATGCTATTGTTGTGTGCCTTCAAATCGTTTCTGATGTATGACGACCCTAAGGTGACAGACCTACATTGGGGTTTTCTAGGACTGAGATCGATCGTGTGACCTGCTGTTCACCCAATGGGTTTCACGGTCAGGCACGGAATCGAACCTTAGCCTCCCGAGTGTTAGTCCAATGCTTGAACCACTACCCCACGCTGTCATACGGGAGGCTACATGCTACATAAAACCGTGACTTGCGACAGCCGCAGAATACCTCTTCTTAACTACCCAGGCTCAGTTCTGTGTGCGGACACTGGGTGGCAGATCACCAAGGCACCCATCTTCTATCCAGGAGACAGGAGAGCAGAGGGCAAGACTGGTATACTGTTGAGGGCAGAAACAGAGCTTGGAGAGGTTACCTTTTTGCACTACAGCTCCCACAATCCTGCAACTTGCAGCCTAAGGGATTGTTGGAGTTGTGACCAAACAATAGCTTTCCCATCCTCCCTATTGGAGGAAGTGAAGGTAGAATCCAAACTGGACAATGCTGCCCAAGTAAGAGGGTAGCTCTCTCATCCCTCACCTTTCAGTGTAGTTGCCACAGTTAGCAGGCCTCCTCCCTTGCCAACCAGTACACCAGGGATTGGGAATTGGGTGCCTTCCCTTCCCCTGGATGTTACCAGATTGCAGTCCCCATCATTCCTCATCACTGGCTATGCTAGCCAGTGCTGATGGGAGCTGCAGCCCCAAAACATCTGGAGGATCACTAATCCTCATCCTGATGGTACACCCCTGGCGAAAGATGTTCCTGCCCCATGCACACAAGGCAGATTGCAGCTGTTTTATCAGCCAGCTACCATTTCCCAGAGTACAAGTGCTTTACATCTCTGGTTTCTTGCCTTCATCTACTATTGGGTGTTTTTTTGGAGGGGGATGATGATAGGAGCAACGACTTTTCCCCCAAAGAAGTAATTTTTGGGTGCCTGGATGCTCCATAGGGCAGCCCTACGGCGCTGGGGGTATCCTTCCACAGGCTGGAGAGACCAGGGAAAGCCTAGAAGTTTCCTTTGCAGCTCCTGGCCTTCCCTAAGCCTCCCTGTTCAGCCATGGAAACCCACTGGGGGGTGACCTTGGGCAAGTCACACTCTCTCAGCCTCAGAGGGAGGCAATGCCAACCCCCTTCCTCTGAACAAACCTTGCCAAGAAAACCCCATGAAGGGTTCACTTTAGGATTGCCATAAGTCGGAAACAACTTGAAGGCACACAA